CCCCCCCCCATGACTGTGGGTCTGTTGTGCCGAATAGGAACCATTTGCTGGCGACATCTGTAGGTGCACGTGGCTTCCCACAGCTGTAAAGTCAGAACTACACTGAGCATAGATACCTGCACAGTCTCCCCAGGAAAACATGTTGAAACGCACCAAATACAAGTCACGGGTTAGCAGTCAGAAACCCGCCTACGGTGCGTGAGTGGGCACTCGGGGGTTCAGAACAATTCACCCCAAGATGTGCCTCTGTGTAAGAGGGTTATTTTGAGCTAAAAGCAACATATCCTTCTGTCTCAGTTCAGTAAGTTTGTGGAAACACTGGCACCTGCGGGGCTATACGTACAGAGGGGGCCTGCAGGGTTATTCGCTCGTGAATCCACCTCGAGGAGTCTGGATGCAGTAACTATGAGAGAAGCAGAAAGAACAGTTAAAAACTGCTGTGCAGACCTCAGCGTCCCCCAGCTGAGAGCAACCTTTAAGGTCTGGTGACGTTAACCTGTCACTGGTGGGGGAAGCTGAGGGGGGTCGCATCGAATCTTCTCAATACCTGTCTTGTTTTCTTTCTCTTTTGGTTTTGTTAACCCTCCCCCGAGGATATTTTTTTCCATTGTTTTTTAGAGAGAGAGAGAGAGAGAAACATCAATGTGAGAGAGACACATCGATTGGTTGCCTCCCACACACGCCCTGACTGGGGCCGAGGACCCAGCCTGCAACCCAGGTACTGGGTTGAACCCGGGACCCTTCGGTGCGCAGGCCAGTGCTCTAACCACTGAGCCACACCGGCCAGGGCCTGTCTTGGTTTCTTACAGGCTGTCGAGTTAGCTATTTCTATCAGGTTGCGTGAGATCCTTAGGAATACAGACCCTTTGTCTCAAACCACCCTCCCACTGCCTTTTCCCCAAATCCTTGCTCCTGGGACTCACCGATGTTTTCTTCTTAGTGGTGGGTGGTTTTCTACAACTCGAGTAGTAGTTGAGGGTGGCGTACTCCATCAGAGCCGCGAAGACAAACAGGAAGCACACGGTCACGAAGAGGTCCATGGCGGTCACGTAGGACACGCGGGGCAAGGAGTTCCTGGCTATGGTGCTGAGCGTGGTCATGGTCAGCACTGTGGTGATGCCTGCGTGGGGGACAGGTGCCAGGTTGTAAAAGGAGCCACACTGACTCCCTCCGCTCCAACACAGCGTTTTTTTATGTGAAATTTTCTTGACATTGCATAAGTGTGACATTACATACATTTATTTATGTATAATCCTCACCTGAGGATATGTATTTTTATTGATTTGAGAGAGAGAGGAGGGGAGAGAGAGAGAGAGAGGAACATTGACTGGTTGCCTCCTGTATGTGCCCTGACCAGGAATCAAACCTGCAACCTTTTGGGGCAGGGATGACGCCGAACCAACTGAGCCACCCGGCCAGGGCTGTGCTATTACTTCTAAATTTTAATGTCTGTACAATTTTGTAAACCATGCTTTCGAGAAATCTCTATTGTAATCGTCCCAGTAACATTACAATACCTGAATTAAGTGGGCACCTTGCGATTCATTCAGTAATTCCCTAATTGTTTGACATTTTATCTTTTACATTTTTTTTTGTTAATCCTCAGCTGAGGATATTTTTCCCATTGATTTTTAGAGAGAGTGGAAGGGAGGGAGGGAGGGAGAGAG